GGGACTGGTCCTTGGAGAGGGACATCATGTTTGGAAGAGTGGAGGGACGGTGAAGAAGAGGAAGACCTCGATGAGATGGATCAATTCTGCGACTGGAGTGGTGAGAATAAATGTATTTGAGACGGCAAGGTTGGCACAGGATAGAGTGGCATTTGGGGCTCTTGTACATAGGGTCACTATGAGTCGCAAGCAACTTGATGGCACATAACAACAACAACAAACAGGGCCTCCATAAGAAAATGACTGATGACCCAATTACAAAATGGGTAAAAGACATGGAAAGATCTTTCACAGAAGAAAACATTCGGATGGTTAACAGACACATGAAGAAATACTCAAAATCACTGGCAATAAGAGAGATGTAAATAAAAATCACAATGAGATACCATGTCACTGCAGTAGCAGTGGCAAAGTTTAACAGGACAGCAAACAATAAATGCTGGAGAGGATGCAGAAAAATAGGAACTTCATACACTGCTGGTGGGATTATAAAATGGTACAACCACTCTGGAAAACAATTAGACATTTCCTCAAAAATCTGGGCATAGAAATTCCATATGACCCAGCTATTGTACTCCTTGGAATAGACCCTGAGAAAATTAGGACTGATATACAAATGGAGATGTGTATACTAATGTTTATAGTAGCATCATTCACTATCACAAGAACATGGAAACAGCCCAAATGTCTAACCACAATCAAATGCATTGACAAATTGTGGTACATTCACACAATGCAATATTATACAGAACTCAGGAGTAACAATTTCAAAAATTACTACATAACTTGAGAGGAACTAGAGAGCATTATGCTGAACAAACTAACTCAGTCCTATAAAGACAAATTCTGTATAAGACTATTATTGTTAGGGAGCCCTGGTGGCCTAATGGCAAGAAGCTGCGCTGCAATCCCCAAGGTGTGCAGCTTGAATCCACCAGATGCTTTGCTGGTGCAGGAGACTGCAATCTCCTCCTGTGCCAGTAGGATCCAATTTAATGTTACACAACCAAAACCAAAACACCATTATTATAGAAATCGAAAGATAATTAGTAAAACATATATGAAGATCTAAGTGAGGTAGGAACAAAGTGGGGTGAGGATAGGCAGGGGGAAATCATAAGGTCACACAATTAGATAGGTGGATGGAGGCATGGATAAAAGAAATAGCAAAGATCCAGCAGGGATCTGGAAAGACAGGACCATGGTGGGCATAGTTCAATGTTGATTTTTTAAATTTTATTAATTTTAATGAAAGTTTACAGAGACTTAGGGTTTCCAGTCATTCACTGTTGCACTTTTCTCCCTGTCCACCCTCTCCCCCCATGTTGATTAGTTTTATAAAATATAATTAATCATAATGATTGTATGAAACACAATGTGAATGAAGGATAATATGAAACACATTGTATACAAACTTCGTAAGCAAACCAATATAAAATTTAAAAAAATATGTTGCCTATTGATCCAGTAGTGAGGATTTTTTTTAATATGAGATGTAATCCATATGGGGAGAGGGGCTGGAATCCAGTTTAGAAGTCATCTGCAGTAGCCAAATTTTACAGAAGTTTGTTTGTTAGTTCTGGTGAGAATTAGGGTGGAATGCTGACTTGCTAATGGGTGTGAGTTGATTTGATTCAGCCTTCTATTTAAAAACACATTTGGGCCTTTGGGCCTGCAGCTCTCAGGCCTGGTTTTGGTCAAACATTCTTCTAAATGGTATAGCACTAGTTTGTCCATTTGCTGTACAGGGGTAACTCATGGTTGCTGTGATGCTTAACACTGTGACACTGATGTGTCTAATGCGATAAGGGTTACCCATAGTAGATAGTGTTTGGTGGTGCTTCCCAGTTAAAGCAAGCTTAGAAGCAGGAGTGTCATCGACTTCTGAAATAGCCTGCTTCCAGAAATTCTATGAAAGTGGAGAAATGAAGAAAGTTATACAAGTGTTCAGATCTTTTATTCATCAGTCTCTATGAGTCGTCTACAACTTGATGGCACTTAACAACAACACAATCTGATAGACGATTGTAGTCTATGATCTTCATTAAGTGCTTCAAGTCTTCATCAGTTTCTGAAACAAGGTTGTTGATGAATCTTTCTCCAATTCTAATATCACAATCTTCTTCATATAGTACAGATTCTTGAACTATTTACTCGGAATACAGATTGAATAGGTATGGTATGGAGAAAAGAGACAAACTTGACACACCCCTTTACCGGTTTTAAACCGTTCAATATCCCCTTGTTCTGTTTGGACAACTGTTTCTTGGTCTACGTAAAGGTTCCAAATGAGCTTAAGTGTTCTAGGATTCTCATTCTTCTTGTTATCCATAATTAGTTATGATTGACCCAGTCAAATGTCTTTGTACAAGCATAAGTAAACATCTCTTTAGTTTTCTCTGCTCTCAGCCAAGATCTACCCTTCGTTCTATAGCTTCTTCTGTATCCAGTGTCAATTGCTGTCAATAGTGTTCCAGCTATTTTTTAAATAATCTTCAGCAAGATTTTGTTTGCATGTGATATTAATGATATTGTTCAGTAATTTTCACATTTCTGTTGGATCACCTTTTTTTTCTTAATGGGAACAATATGCTTGTTACTGTTGTTGTTGTGTAACACTGAGTCAAAGCTGACCCTCTAGCAAGTTTTCAGAAACTGTAAGTTCTGTAAGTGAATACTGCCCATCTTTTTCCTGTATAGAAATTGGTGGACTCATACTGCATACCTTTGGGTAAGTGGTGCAATACCTTACCATTAGGCCACTAAAGCTCCATACAAATATGGTTATTTATTTCTTCTTAAAAGAAGAACATATATATATGATTCTCACCACTGGACCAATTGGCAGCATCAGGATGGATGGTGAAGAGATTGAGATTGTACACAGCTTTAGTTTGCTTGGCTCTGTAGTCAACAGTCTTGGCACCAGCAGCCAGGAAATTAAAAGGCGCATTGCCATGGGAAAGTCTGCTGTTAGGGACCTCTCCAAAGTACTGAAGAGCAATGGTGTCTCTCTGGAGACTAAGGTGCATCTGATACAGGCCATGGTCTTCGCAATCACTTGTTATGCATCAGAGAGTTGGACAATGACCAAGGAGGATAGAAGGAGAATTGATGCCTTTTAGCTGTGGTTCTGGAGAAGAGTATTGAGAATACCATGGACTGCTAGGAAAACAAGGAGATTTCTCCTGGAAAGGGTTAAACCGGGTGGCTCCTTGGAGGCAAGGATTCTGAGGCTCTGTCTAACATACTTTGGACATGTTGTGAGGAGAGACCGGTCCTTAGAGAGGGACATCATGCTTGGGAGGGTAGAGGGACAGCGCAGGAGAGGAAGGCCCTCTATGAGGTGGATTGATTCAGTGACTGGGATAATTGGGATGGGAGTGTCAGAGACAGTGCGATTGACACAGGACAGAGCGGAGTTTAGGGCTGTTGTACATAGGGTCACTATGAGTCGCAAGCAACTCGACGGCACATAACAACAACAACAACTATATATATATTGTCAAAAGGCTCGCTTTTCCCCCCAGAAAAGGGTGAGGGAGTCTTCTTGTTGTTATGTGATGTCAAGGGTGTCTTAACTCCCCTATACTGTATATGTATATACTATATATATATAGTAGTCAGGCCAACCCAGAGCTGACCCTTCGTTGGGTTTTGAGAGGCAGTAAATCACACAGGAGGAGCTTGTCCGTCTTTCTCCTGGGGAGCAGCTGGAGGATTTAAACCTTTGGATTGGCAGTGCCCCTCCTTACTACCTACCCACCATAAATTTCTCTTATTATTCATTAATTGTTCTTTTTAAGAGAAAAACACTTCTTTTTTTCCCCGGTTGTTTCTGGTTTTTTAGTTTAGGAAAAAAACACTTCTTAAATATGTTTCCACCTGAGAACATATAACTGAATGACTGTGTTTTAAATAAGACCATGAAGCATATTTAAAAAAATTGCACTAGACTTTCAATCTCTTATTTTCCTTCTTTTTCTCTTTCTGGTCTAGGTTGGATTCCATCCAATTTCTCCCTAAGTCTCTGTTCTCTGGCATATTCTTTCAGAGGGGAGTTAAGACACCCTTGACATCACATAACAACAAGAAGACTCCCTCACCCTTTTCTGGGGGAAAAAGCGAGCCTTTTGACATGTAGCCATCCTACCCAGCTTTATCTGCAAAGGGGTAAATTAGGTCCTGGAGAAGAGAGGTATTTTGGCCTTGGAGGTCTCTGTCAGCTTAGACTCTCTGGGTTTTTTTTTTCCTGAAGGAGGAACTGCTTTCTCTCTGCAGTTAGAGTATATTAGCTATTTGTTTTCTGCAACTCAAGTCACCTTTAGGGAGCTCTGGTGGATTAAGTCCATCGGGAGTTGGTCTACTAAAACCAAAGGTCACATCTCAGGAGGTTCGAATCCACCAGCAGCTCAGAGGGAGAAACATGGGCACTCTGTTCCCCTGCAATTTACAGGCTCAAAAGCCAAATGGAGGGTCAGCTATGAGTCGTTGGACAGTTGGTAAAAGCATGTCACTTCCAGTGGTGATAACATGCCTTCCTTCTGTCTGGCGCTATGACCCATATACAATTCCCAGATTCTTACTTCCAGTTTCTCCCTAGTCTGTGGGATATTCTGGGTTGTGGAATCACTGATGGAAGGAGTAAGTCAAGAAGGGACAGACTTATGGCTCAGCGGGAGGGATCTGGCCCGCAGTTTGGCCCTCAGGTCGCGAAGCACCGATGGATCAAAGGCCAGACGCCGCTTGGGCCTTGTAGGGGACTGCCGAGGTCGCCACAGTGAAATGGAGAGCCCGGCACGGCTGGTCCGGGATCCGAGGAGTCACTGCGCGCGGCGCGGGACGTCAAAGGAGCTTCTGGCCGTCGGGCGGGGCTCGGGACGCTGCGGTCCCGGGCCCCCGTGCGACGAACACCCCGCGGCTGAGCCCCGGATGGCCGCCAGAGAGCGCTGCGGGCTCCCGCTCGCCCGCCCCCCGGTAGGCGGGGCCGCGCTCTCCCCGCAGCCGCCGCCGCAGCCGCCGCCTGGGCCGCCCCGTGTCCCCGGTGGAGCTGCTGCCGCCGCCGCCGGGAGCTCGATGCGGACGGAGCCCGGGCCGGGCCATGGGGATCCTCAGCATCACGGACCAGGTCAGCTATCTTGTCCTTTCCTGGTTCCTCCTTCCAGTGCCCGACGCGGCCGCCACGCGAGCCCGGGGATGTGCGGCCTAGGCTGGGCCCGAGCCCGGGGCTCCCGCGGCTCCCGCCCCGCCCCACGCCGCGCTCCCCTCATCCGAGCCGGTGTCCTTGGGGGCCTGGCGACTGGCGTAAGCACCGCGCAGACCCGCCGCAGGCAGGAGCCCCAAGGTGGACACCTTCCAGCACCATCTCGCCCTGCAGCCGCGTTGCCCCCCCTCGGGTCCCGCTCTGACCGCCGGTTCTTCCCGCAGCCGCCCCTGGTCCAGGCCATCTTTAGCCGAGATGTGGAGGAAGTGCGCTCCCTGCTCTCGCAGAAGGAGAACATCAATGTACTGGTGAGTCGAGAGCCGGAGAATGGTGAGCCCAGAATCGGGCTCCGGGGTTCTGGATCCCTCCCCAGTGAGGCGACTCTGTGCCTCCTCCTCGGCTTCATTGAGGCCGCAGCTCTTTTCACCCTGGGGTGGGTGTCTGTTTCCATTTGGGAATGGAGAGCTCGTCCAGCTCGGAGTGCTCACCAGAGAGGCTGGGGATGCACAGAAAAGATGTTTTCTTATCCACACCGGGGTCTGCAGCGCCCCCTCCCCTTCTGGAAGAAGGATCCCCTTTCCGGCCCGTTGCCCTGACTCCACCCTCCTTAAATAAAAGCATGTCTTTGGACTCAATACGGGGATTTAGGAAGCTGCAGAGCTCCTGGGAAGAGCCCGGAGCTTTAAGACTTGAGCACGGGTCCTCCAGCCAGGAGAGTTCTGTCCTCATCTGCTCGTCTTTTCTGCTCTTCCAGGACCAAGAGAGGCGAACCCCACTGCATGCTGCTGCCTATGTAGGCGATGTCCCTATCCTCCAGTTGCTACTGATGTCAGGTGAAAGTGGGGAGCTGGAAGGTGTGGCACTCTGGGAGGAGAAGGGAGGAGTCATTATTCTTCCATCCAGCATATCCAAGGGTTGTGCATTAGTAATTGGTCCAGGGAAGGCTCCAAGGCCATCTAGATTTCTCTGGCTTGATTACTGGCTTCTTTCTCCACTTCTCATCAAAAAAAGGAAATTATATTCCCACAGGTGCTAATGTCAACGCTAAGGACACACTGTGGCTGACCCCTCTTCATCGAGCTGCTGCCTCCCGAAATGAGGTATGAGCTTTCTCCCTCTTTTCATCTGTTCAAAAAGGAGTTGATTAAAAGTGAAGGTTAAGGTTTCAGTTGTCTCAGTCTTCTGCCATACAAGTTGTTCTGCCCCCAAGTAGTATGATGACCAGACACATTGGCCCCTCCTTCTTACCCCTAGAACTGGCTGAGAGGGGGTGCGGAGTGCTGCCAGCTGATGTGACGTCAGGGAGAGCTTAACACCAGGCTGGCAGACTGCAGGGGGCCCTGCTGCCAGGCCTGAGTGACTCATCCTCCCTGGGGGGCCACCCAGGAGTCTAATCCCCCTCTGGGCACTGAGATTTCTTTCCTGGTGATGGGGGAGTATGGCATAGTGATCTGTTGCATCCTAGCTCCTCAAGCAGCAAAAAAACTGACAACCCAGGAGCTAAATAGATTTCATCCCATCAGCTCTAGAGAGGGAAAAGAGAAGCCTGTCTTGATTGGACAGCCAGTTTCCTGGCTCTAGATACCAGGGGGAGGGTCTGAGGCCAAAAGACTGATGGGATGGTGCTTAGGATGGACATGACCTGGGGTTTGGAGAAGAACCCACAAAAAGGTGATGAAGATTAATTTAGTGCCTCAAAAAGGATGTTCAGGAGAAAATTAATGTAGCAGAAGAGTTTCTGTTTCCTAGAAGTACTAGATTACAGTCCTTTGCACATGTGAGTCTACTTAGGGATAGATACACATATGAGCAGAGGTTTTCAGGATCTTGGTTAGGGTGATACAAAGTAGCTTAAGGAGGAATAAGGGGTTTATGTTTTTCCCAGCATGGCCAGGAACTCAAGGAAAATCCAGAGAGTGGGAAGTAGGTATCGAGAGGCTGGCTATGTTGAAAAATTGAGATGAGAATCAATGCTGGGGGCAGTGGAGCGGTGCATGTGTGTCCTGCTGACCCATTCCTCCTCCTGTTCCCTGTTGTTTTGCCTCCTGCTCCCGATCTTCTCTCATGGCCCCTGCTTCTCAACAGAAGGTGCTGGGGCTGCTGCTGGCACATTCAGCAGATGTGAATGCCCGAGACAAGCTGTGGCAGACACCACTGCATGTGGCTGCTGCCAACCGGGCCACCAAGTGTGCTGAGGCATTGGCACCTCTGCTGAGCAGTCTCAATGTGGCTGACAGGAGCGGGCGTAGTGCCTTGCACCATGCAGTGCATAGTGGGCATCTTGAGGTGAGACCTGCTTCAGTCCCAGCCCAACCTAAAGCCTTCCCTTTCTGCTCATCACTCCCTGCCTCTGGGCCATCAGCCCCATGGGGTAGAAGTCCAGAAATAATAAAAAACTCTTAGGCTCAAGCCCCAAATGAATGGTTTAGACAGGTTTGAAATTCTTGACTTGGACATCAGAAGATTGACGTACCCTTGGAAGTTTGCATGCAAACTGTTTGTGTCCCTGCCTCATTCTGAGGAGAGTCCATGTCTTTCAACACAGTTTTCAAAGACTCAAAAGAATTTTAAGAAATCAAATCATTTTAAAATCTATCAACCTGTTATCTCCTTCATAGTTCCTGCTACCTCTGTCCCCTCTGCTTCTCCATACTGCCTTATCAGAAAACAGGGCTTCTGCTCGTAGGTAATTTGAAGGTATGTACATGGCTCTAAACAGGTGTCTTCCATATCTTGCTGCAGACGGTAAATCTGCTCCTCAACAAGGGAGCCAGCCTGAATGTCTGTGATAAAAAGGAGCGGCAGCCTTTGCACTGGGCAGCTTTTCTAGGTGAGAAAGGATTCATTGGAAAACCAGGAAATTTATATATAGAACTCCTCAGCAGGGAAATGGGTTTGTGGCCTTTGGAGAGACTTCAGGATGCTAACAACGTTCACCTTCTACCTTCTTAAGAGCAATCTGGCTTTCCCCAGGGCATTTGGAGGTCTTAAAATTGCTGGTGGCGCGAGGAGCAGACCTTGGCTGCAAGGACCGCAAGGGTTATGGGCTGCTCCATACAGCTGCTGCCAGTGGCCAGATTGAAGTGGTGAAGTACTTGCTCCGGATGGGAGCTGAGGTCAGAGTACTGGGCATGAGCTGGGGTCTAAGGTCAGGGCATTAGAAGACAGTCCGTTTAGATAAATGGAAATTCTGATATTATTGATAGGTTTTGGGAAGTTGGGGGAAGTGTCATGAGAGGGTCTCACTCTTACCTTAAGTAATAGTGTTTTCAGTCTCTTGATTCTCACCTTACTTGTCCAGAGCCCGTTAGGACTGAAATAGTCTTTGGAGTGTTGGTATCCTCTAGGCTCTATGTGTCAGTTTCTACTTTGTTTAAATTGATACCCTCTGCCCTCTTACTCTCTCCCTTGGAAATCCAGATTGACGAGCCCAATGCTTTTGGAAACACAGCTTTGCACATCGCCTGCTACCTGGGCCAGGATGCTGTGGCTATCGAGCTGGTGAATGCAGGAGCCAATGTCAACCAGCCGAATGATAAGGGCTTCACACCACTGCATGTTGCTGCTGTCTCCACCAATGGCGCACTCTGCTTGGAGCTATTGGTCAATAATGGGGCTGATGTCAACTACCAGGTGCCTGAAGGGACAAGGCTCAGACTAGCAGGGAGAGAAATCTAGCTCAAGGGGATCTTACTATATCGTGTTCTCTGGATAACTCAGGAAATGGCCCTTTTTGGGGTAAATGAACCTTTCTAGAGACACAAAAAAACTGTAGAGTTGCAAAGATGCCTATTTTGATCACTCTATCCCCAGAGATAAGTCATTTGGAAGGGAAGAAAGGATGTCTTTTGTGCTTTACACTGAAGAATGCCATGTTTCCACAGAGTAAAGAAGGGAAAAGCCCTCTGCACATGGCTGCCATCCATGGCCGTTTCACCCGCTCCCAGATTCTTATCCAGAATGGTATGAACTCTGAAAACTATTCTCATTCTTCCCCAGGGAATTCACCCCTAGAACCTCCCTTCTTTCCTTATGCTACTTCCCATTCTGTCTTCCTATAAGGACAGACACCAGCTGTATCCTTGAGCAAGGTACCTATGGAAAAGGGCCTCCTCTGCCATGCCCAGACCCCCCAAGGCTTACAGATAAGATGATACTTGCAGAGTGCTTAGCCAGGTACCTGACATGGAAGCAGGAGTGGCATCCACTTCCTAAACAATATGCCTCTGGAAACTGAACTTTGATAAATGTTGATAGCTGTAGAGGGGCTTCGGGCCTTTTGTCCATAGGGTCACCATGAGTCATGCTTGACTCGAAGGCAATCAAGAGCAACAAATGGTAGCTAACTAATGTGAGCAGCCTAAGGCTTGCCTAAGTTTGTGTCCATGTTTCCACCAGGCAGTGAGATTGATTGTGCCGACAAATTTGGGAACACGCCACTGCACGTGGCTGCTCGCTATGGACACGAACTGCTCATCAGCACCCTCATGACCAATGGCGCAGATACCGCCCGGTAAGTGAGGGCCCCAGGCTTTACCTTGTGGGTCCCCTCAAATCTATGCAGACCTCTCATATGATACATGAAACAGATTTGTCTAAGAAATTAGTGGACTGTGCCATTCCATACTCTTTGCGGTGGTGGGGGTGTACAGAAAAGAGGCCTGTAACTGACACCTCCTAGACCCAAGAACTGAGTCATCAACCTCTCTCCAGGCGCGGTATCCACGACATGTTCCCCCTGCACTTAGCTGTTCTCTTTGGATTCTCTGACTGTTGTCGTAAGCTTCTTTCCTCAGGTACGTGCTGGTGGATGGGACAGTTGGACAGGTGTGTGGGAAAGCCGAGCCCTTCCCCCTCAACTCAGTCAGTGCTCTCTGATATGATCTGATATTCTTACCTTTCAGGTCAGCTGTACAGTATCGTATCTTCACTCAGCAATGAGCACGTGCTCTCAGCTGGGTTTGACATCAATACACCTGACAACCTTGGCCGCACCTGTCTTCATGCTGCTGCTTCTGGAGGGTGAATTCTCCTGCTTTACTCTCAAGCTTTGAAAAAGAGAGCTGGACAAGTGGCTGAGCCTCTTGCTCTTCGCTGGCCAGTTCTCTTCTTCCTCCCCCCTCTCCCCGCCCCCTCTCACAATGCAGCAGTTAAAGCAGAAGACACTGTTAGTTCCTTTCTTCCTTAACCCCTCTCTGGACCTGTGGCTTTTCTTTGAGGCTCTTACTGTCAACCCTCATTTTCCTTCTTTTTAGGAATGTTGAATGTCTTAATTTGCTGTTGAGCAGTGGAGCTGACTTGAGAAGGAGAGACAAATTTGGAAGGTATGCTAATATGAGGACATATACATAGGAATGTCTGATTAGAGAGAGAATTAAGAGAATGGAGGGCTAGAGGCTAAATGAAGATACTACAAACCAGCTTTTGTGTGCATATCTGATGGCATTTGGATTTGTCACTAATTCTTATACTCACCCTTCTTCACTTCCTCAGGACCCCACTGCACTATGCAGCTGCCAATGGCAGCTACCAGTGTGCGGTAACACTGGTGACTGCTGGGGCTGGCGTCAACGAGGCTGACTGTAAAGGCTGCTCTCCCCTCCACTATGCTGCCGCCTCTGACACTTACAGGAGGTACATTCCCATCTCAGGAAGTTGTCCATTCACAGCCCTGCTTACCCTTCCAAGCCTTCCCCAACTTCTTCACTTCTCTGTTCCCCAGGGCAGAATCCCATTCAGCTTCTAGCCATGATGCTGAAGAGGATGAGCCACTGAAGGAGTCTCGCAGGAAGGAGGCCTTCTTGTAAGTAGTTGGGAACGTCCTTTTTTCCAAAATGCCAACTCTGATTATATTGCTTTCCCACCCCATTTTGAGTCTTCACTATCACATCTTACTACTATCTGTAAAGGTAGCCCCTTACACACTCTAGTATTAACCTTATGTAAACACTGGACAGGGAACTTGGGTGGTGTAATGGTAAGAATCTCCACTGGAATGCCTAAGGCACAGGGTTCAAATCCAGCAGCCACACCACAGGAGAAGGATGAGCACTCTCCTCTCATGTGAATTACTGCCTCTGAAAACCTGCTGGAGGGTCAGCTGTGGGTCACTTCTGACTTGATGACATACAACAGCCACCACCACTGTGGGCAAAGACAAAAATTTGTGACATAGTTCTTTCCTTCAGTAAAGAGATGAGCTTGAGAAAATCAGAAAGCTAAATATATACATACAAAGTCGGTTGTTACCCCATAAGCATAAATTTACTAACTAGCTTGTTGTTATGTTGTTGTTATATGCCGTCGAGTCTCTTGCAACTCATAGCGACCCTATGTACAACAGCTCTAAACTCTGCTCCGTCCTGTGCCAGTCTCATTTTTTCCGACAACACTCATCCCGATTGCCCCAGTCACCAAATCAATCCACCTCCCAGAGGGCCTTCCCCTCTTGCGCCTGCCCTTCACCCTCCCAAGCATGATGTCCTTCTCCAAGGACCGGTCTCTCCTTAAAACATGACCAAAGTATGTCAGATGAAGTCTCAGAATCCTTGCCTCCAAGGAGCAGCCTGGTTTAACCCTCTCTAGGATGAATCTGTTTGTTTTCTTAGCAGTCCATGGTACCCTCAGCACTATTCTCCAACACCAAAGCTCAAAAGCATCAATTCTCCTTCTATCCACCCTGGTCATTGTCCAGCTCTCTGATGCATAACAAGTGATTGCAAAGACCATGGCCTGTACCAGACACACCTTAGTCTCCAGAGACACACCGTTGCTTTTCAGTACTTTAGAGAGGTCCCTAACAGCAGACTTTCCCATCGCAATACGTCTTTTAATTTCCTCGCTGCTGGTGCCAAGAGTGTTGATTGTGGAGCCAACTAGCTAGGTGCTAAAAATAAAAGATATCTATCCTTGGGGAATTATAATATGGTAGGCAAGATTTTTACTAGTCTAATATGATACAGACCATGGTCTTTGTAATTACTTGTCATGCGTCAGAGAGTTGGACAATGACTAGGGAGGATAGAAGGAGAATTGATTCCTTTGAGCTGTGGTGCTGGAGAAGAGTATTGAATGTACCATGGACTGCTAGGGAAACAAACAGATTCATCGTGGAGAGGGTTAAACAGAGCGACTCCTTGGAGGCAAGGATTCTGGGGCTTCATCTGACATACTTTGGACATGTTGTGAAGAGGGACCAGTCCTTGGAGGGGGACATCATGCTTGGGAGGGTGGAGGGACAGCGCAGGAGGGGAAGACCCTCTATGAGGTGGATTGACTCAGTGACTGGGGTAATCAGGATGGGTGTGTCGGAGGCAGTGTGGTTGGCAGAGGATAGAGCAGGGTTTAGGGCTGTTGTACATAGGGTTGCTATGAGTTGCAAGTGACTCGACGGCACATAATAACAACAAATGTGTTTATAATAACAAAAGCTAGCTAAAGGGTATACGGAAACTCTACTATCTTCAGAGGTTGTTTTGGTAAATCAAAAACTGTTCTAAAAGAAAAAGGTTTTTTTGTTTTCTTTTTTTCCTTTCCCAGATATCTAAAATCTAAGAAACTTAGTTATATGAACTTTGCAAATCACTTAACCTTTCTCTGTGCCTGAGTTTCCTCCATCATGAATGTAGTGATAGTGGCGTTCATTGCTTTTTAAGTTGGAACTGACTCATAGCTGATCCTCCAGGGCTTTTGAGAGGCTATAAATCTTAGCTCAAGAGGATATTGCCTATCATTCTCCCAAGCAGCAGCTGGTGGATTGGAACTGCTTATCTGTGGGTTGGCAGTGCAATTTGTTACCAGTAGGCTACTACTTGAGCTTTAGTCATGAGTTGTTATTGTTAGGTGCTGTCGAGTCACCTGCGACTCATAGTGACCCTATGTACAACAGCCCTAAACCCTTCTCTATTCTGTGCCGATCTCACTGTCTCTGACACACCTACCCCGATTACCCCAATCACTGTATCAGTCTACCTCATCGAGGGTCTTCCCCTCCCAAGAATGATATCCCTCTCCAGGGATTGGTCCTTCCTTGCAACATGTCCAAAATATGTCAGATGAAGCTTCAGAATCTTTGCCTCCAAGGAGCAGCCTGGTTTAACTCTCTCTAGGTAGAACCTGTTCATTTTCTTAGCAGTCCATGGTCATGAATAGGGGTGAAAATAACATCTACTTGTAAGGTCATTATGAGGATTAAATCGTTCATACACTTAGACAGTGCTTTACACATACTGTTATCGGCCTTCAAGTCTGAAGGTGGAGGTGTTGGGATACAGTTTGAGATAAGTAGGACCTCCTCACATAGCCTCAGAGGCAGTGGCATTCTAGTCCACAGCAAGCATGCCTTGACACAGAAGTTAACCAGCAGAAATTTGACAGCTAATAATGGTATTATTATTTAGGTATTTAGGGAGCTCTGGGAGCCTAGTGATAAGTAGTTGTACAGCTAACCTGAAGGCACACAATTTGTATCCACCAGCTGCTCCAGGGGAGAAAGATGAGCAGTTTCCTTCCATATGATTTACAGCTTCTAAAAATCCACTGGAGGGTCAGCTATGAGTCACTTCTAACTTGATGGCACATAACAATAAACAACAAGATTCTCTAGGAGAGTGTTTAAAGGGTAAAGGAGGGCAGCTCAGATCAGACCTTGAGTAGGTACTAGATCTGGGCCTGAAGTATCAATAAGCAGGGTTTATAGGACTCCCCTAAAACCAGGGAATGGGGTTGGCTGGATAGGTCTGGGAGAGGCTCCTGCTTTACAGTCTACTTCTGGCTTCCCTCCCAGCTGTCTAGAGTTCTTACTGGATAACGGTGCAGACCCCTCCCTGCGGGACAGGCAGGGCTACACAGCTGTGCACTATGCAGCCGCCTATGGCAACAGACAGAACCTCGAACTGGTAGGTGTTCTCCTCTGCCTGGGTTGGGAGGAAAGAGGGTGTGTACACTGTCTTTGGGATTTTGGATTCTGAAACGAAAGGGTATTTGAGACTGCGACACAAATGTCTCTAGCTCAAAGGTTTAGGGGCTTGCTATGGTTAGAGGGCAGAGGTAAATCCCGGGAGTTCTTTCATACTAGCATAATCCTGTCTGTTGCAGCTTTTAGAAATGTCCTTTAACTGCCTGGAGGATGTGGAGAGCACCATTCCAGTCAGCCCTTTGCACTTAGCTGTGAGTTCTAAGTGTTTTCCTCTTGCCTTCCTTGTCCTTACATGCCCTCAGGACCACACAAAGGCCTAGCACTTTTGAATCCATCCTGCTTTTTCCCCCCCCAACTTGTGGGGATGGGACAAGCAGGCAGTGGTCTGGATAGAGGAGGGTCAAGGGGCCTGATGAGCAGGTGAAGGACCTCTGCCTGGAGCCCTTTGGGGGCTCTAAGAGCAGGGATGGGTTGGGATCATGTCCTGAGCTGTGTCCATTGGTTGCCTGCACACATCCAGGCCTACAACGGTCACTGTGAAGCCCTGAAGACACTGGCTGAGACGCTGGTGAATCTGGATGTAAGGGACCACAAGGGCCGAACCGCGTTATTCTTGGCCACTGAGCGAGGCTCTACTGAGTGTGTGGAGGTGCTTACAGCCCATGGCGCCTCTGCCCTCATCAAAGAGCGCAAGCGCAAGTGGACACCCCTGCATGCTGCTGGTTAGTACCCCTTCCACACCAGGCCTTGGAGACAGGTACCCAAATCCCTGCTGAATGGGCTTGGGGTTGGAAGTGGGACAGAGTCAAAATGATGGGGATTTCCATTCCTGTCTCATGACCAGCTTATCGCCAAAGACCTCTCTCCTTGCCCTCAGTTTCCCCATAATCTCTAGAGTCCTTTAGGTGGATGAGTGATATAAGCATTTAAGTGCTTGGAAGGTAAGCCTGGTGATCTGCTTCCAATAGGTTCCCACCTTGAGTAGGCCGTGGGCATTTCTGCTCTCCACACGTGGGATTGCCTTGAGTTGGAGTCAGCTCAGGAACTGACAGCAAGAGTTGGGTGGGCTTGACTGCCTGCCCCTGCCCTGGCCCTTCCTGACACATGATCCCTTTTCTCCTAGCTGCCTCTGGCCACACTGACTCCCTGCACTTGCTGATCGACAGTGGGGAACGAGCAGACATCACAGATGTCATGGATGCCTATGGACAGTGAGTGTGGCCTAGGGTAGGGTGCAGCTTTTTCCATCCCTGCTAAGACGTCATTCACCTTTTTTTCCACCTCCATAGAACCCCACTGATGCTGGCCATCATGAATGGCCACGTAGACTGTGTACATCTGCTGCTAGAGAAAGGATCCACAGCTGATGCTGCTGACCTCCGGGGCCGCACTGCCCTCCACCGGGGGGTGAGTAAGCTCCCCACATAGCCTTCCTTGTTTGGGATCTCTCCAAAGAAAGTCTTCAGTGTGGAAGCACAGGACCCACCAGCAGCTGCATGACAGATTATCTGGTAGGGGACCAATGGATAGTGGACTGTCTGTTGGCATAAGAGAGGCAAAGTATGAGATGCTGATCCCTAACACTTAAGAGTCCTTATTCTAAAGACAGACTGGAGTTAGGGAATGGCTCTAATTCCTGAGTCATCTGTTAGCAACTGGCCAGTGGCTAAGAGTAGCTTCTTTCTCTACTCATTCCCTACCCAATGTCACCCATAGGCAGTGACTGGCTGTGAGGACTGCCTGGCTGCCCTGCTGGACCATGATGCGTTTGTGTTGTGCCGAGACTTCAAAGGCCGCACACCCATTCACCTGGCTTCAGCCTGTGGCCACACTGCAGTACTGCGGACTCTGCTGCAGGCTGCCCTGTCTACAGATCCTCTGGACGCTGGGGTGGATTACAGTGGCTATTCGCCCATGCATTGGGCTTCCTACACTGGTGAGGGTCTGGAGCCTTCGACAGGCACAAGAATATGTAGGTTAGCTATGGGAAAGGGTTGACAAGAACCAAGAACAAGTGAGTTGGAGAGAATTGAGTTGAACTAAATCTGCGAGTGGATTAAGGTGTCGAGATGACATAAGATAGATAGAAGGAACTGTCTTTTTCTCTTCACCAAGTTTTCTTCTTCAACCCAGGACATGAAGATTGTCTGGAGTTGTTACTTGAACACAGCCCATTTTCATACCTGGAAGGAAACCCCTTCACTCCTTTGCACTGTGCAGTGTAAGCCCCTTTTGTACTCCTGTCCCCTCTCAAGAGTCAGTGGCTTGAGCTTATGCCGGGTAGTCTGTATTCCTTGTCCTTCCTGGTGACTCCTCCCTCTTCCCCCCAGAATTAATAACCAGGACAGCACCACAGAGATGCTGCTGGGAGCTCTGGGTGCCAAAATTGTGAACAGCCGAGATGCCAAAGGACGGTGAGTGGTGGAAGCCTGGGAAGCGTCTGTCTTCCTCTTTTAGTCCAGGCTGAAGCGCCTTCTCGATCTAATTCTACCCTGACCCCCACCCGACAGGACCCCCCTTCACGCCGCTGCCTTCGCGGACAACATCTCTGGGCTCCGGATGCTGCTGCAGCATCAAGCTGAGGTGAACGCCACTGACCACACTGGCCGTACCGCGCTCATGACGGCAGCCGAGAACGGGCAGACCGCTGCTGTGGGTGTGTAGGGGCTATGTGTGGAAGGGAGGAGCTCTTGTTGGGTTTTTGCAAGATGGGCCAGCCCTGTGTGTTGGGGGGCTTGATGTGACTGAAGCACAGGAAGCAAGAGGAATGTCTTTGGACCTTTCACCTTCTATGGATCAGATGCCAAGTTTTAGGGAGACAGAAGGTGGAGCGAAGCATCAGCTCTTCTCTGTCCCTTTTCCTGTAGAATTTCTGCTGTATCGAGGGAAGGCAGACCTTACTGTGCTTGATGAGAATAAGAACACTGCCCTCCACTTGGCTTGTAGTAAGGTATGACCTAGAGTGGTAGTGGGCTGTCGGGTACAATGGCTTCAGGATAGGGGTTAGGTCTGGATTGTTGGGAAAGAAGACTGGAGCAAAAGTAGGGAGTATCCAGTCTAATTGGTAGGATATCTCTTGTTCCCTTGCCATCCTCCCAGCTCCTACTCCTCTGTTATGCAAGTCTCCACTTTTTGCTCCTTTCCTTTAGGGCCATGAGAAGTGTGCACTTATGATCCTGGCAGAAACTCAAGACCTTGGCCTTATCAATGCTACCAACAGTGCGCTGCAGATGTGAGTACCCGGGGCAGGGGGCTCCTTGCTGGGGGAGGCAGGTGGGTGAAGAGAGAGTGGCTCAAATTCCAGCAACTATGGAACTCTTAGTGTTCCTGGTGAAGCCCACTGACTTAATTTTCCTTCCTTCCAAGGCCACTCCACATTGCTGCCCGTAATGGTCTAGCCTCTGTGGTACAGGCCCTGCTGAGTCGTGGGGCCACAGTGCTGGCTGTTGATGAAGAAGGTGAGTAGGGTCTGGAGCCTCGCTGCTTCTCCTAGGTTTGAGGGTCACAGACATTCTTCAGGAGATGACTTCTTAACTTTAATATGTTGTTGTTGTTAAGTTCTATTGAGTTGCCTGTGACTCACAGCAACCCTGTATGCAATAGCTCTGAAGCCTGCCCTGCCCTGAGCCAGTCTCAATGACTCCAACACAACTAACCCCATTGCTCCAGATACTGTATCAGTCCATCTCATCTGAGGTCTTCCTCTCCTGCACTGTCCCTCCACCCTTTCAAGCATGATGTTCTTCTCCAAGAACCGGTCCCTCCTGGCTATGTGCCCAAAGTATATGAGATGTAGTTTAGATAGGATAGATAGATAGATAGATAGATAGATAGATAGATAGATCGATCAATAGATAGATAGATACAGAGATTTCCCAAAGGAACTCTTTAGAGAAGGAATCCAATACCACTACATCAGGTTCTCTGAAGGGAGTCTGACAAAACTGGGTAATATTACCAGGATACTCAGGAATATATCCCACACATACAGCCTCTTGTGCCACATGCTCCACCCTGTCCCCTACACTTTGAGAATCTGCCTAGAAGCATCCTTGCACACTCATAGCCTTTGAATTCTGACTGTGCTGCCAGCTTGCCTGCTTAACCCCCTTCCCCAGACAAGGGAGTCTGGGACCCTGGGAAGGATGGATATAGGAAGCCAGGATACAGCGCATTTCCCTCATTTTCCAAACCTTCTAGGTCACACCCCAGCACTGGCCTGTGCTCCCAACAAAGATGTGGCAGACTGCCTGGCCTTGATCCTTTCCACCATGAAGCCTTTCCCACCCAAGGACGCCGTCAGTCCTTTCAGCTTCAGCCTGCTCAAGAACTGCGGCATTGCAGCTGCCAAGACGGTGGGTGGCTGTGGTGCCCTGCCCCACGGGGCCTCCTGCCCCTACAGCCAGGAGCGGCACGGCGCCATCGGTTTGGATGGTTGCTACTCGGAGTAGCCCCCCTCCAGTGTCCCTCCCCCTGCCGGTGGCTTGATATCTTATTCTATTTATTTAGAAAAAGTCTATACATTTAGGGCACTTTAAAGGAGAACACGACTGGGTGGGGGGTGGAGGGGGGGAAGCACTGGGGAGCAGCTGCTCACCCCTTTGCCACACCATTCTGGCCTGGCAGGGGTCTGGGATTGACAGGGAGCACCCCAGGCCCTTAGTACCCCCAAGGCAACCCCTTCTGCCAAGTGTCCCAAAATGATTGCTAAATGCCTGGCTCCCCTCTCTGACCCCCATCTCCGTTGCCCCTTTCTGCTGCCAGCTCCCTCACTCTTCCTTCTGGTTCTCCCCTTTGTGTTGCCCTTCCACTTGTCCCTACTGCCAGGCACATTCCCCACCTCCCTCCTTCTCCCATGCCCATCACTGCCTCCCTGCTCGGCTGGCCCCTCCATCCCCGCAGCAGTGAGAAGCCTTAATTTCTGGTACTGTGTGAGCACTCTGGGGGTGCCCCCTCCCCCTTCAGGGGCAGCTAGAGGATGAGGGGGGAGGGTATTTAGCACTGGGGCCTGGAGCTTTTTCCCCACTTCTCTACCCATCACCCCTTAAGTTCAAATGCAAAACACTTGAAGCAGCAACTACTGTACCTGGGCCCCAATCCTGCACTCTCCCCTGGCTCCTCATATGCAAATCAAGGGCTGTTTCTGCCCCCACAGCCTGCCCCTTTCTCCTCCCACTCCTACCCCTACCCCTACCCCTGGCCTGCCCCCCCCCAACCACGCACTTTAACCTTGCTTCTTTCTTTTAACTACTTTTGGGAGGGCAGCACCTGTGGCCATTCCCTCCCTGGCTTTCTCTTTTAAGTTTGAGGCTTGTCATGAATTTTTAAGTAAGCATTTTGTCCTTTAGGGGAAAAATCAAATTTATTTCCTGCCCATTTCAAAACCACAGCCCTAGTATGTCCTCCCCTTATTAGGCATGTATTTGCATGTGTGTGGAGGGAGGGACTATTTTCTTCCTCCTGTGCGCTCCCCAGTCCCATAGTTTCTCTGTGCCCCCATCAGCTTCCATCCTTTTATTATGTCCAGAATACCTACTGCCCCCATCACTCCTGATCTGAAGCCAAAGATGGTGGGAGGGGCAGGGCAGAGCAGGGATCGTATCTATACGATACCCAGACTTCCCCTCCAGTGTGAGGATGGTCAAGGGAGTGATGAGTAGTTACTGTGCCTCCCCAGCACTGGGGAGAGATGGGATTGAGCAAGGGTTGCACTAAAAAGATTCCTAAAAGTTGCACCCCCAAAGCCAAACTGAGCTGGAGTGAAGAGGGGCAGTTTTCTCTCTAAATGTAGCATTGAATTTGGCCCTGGTCCCTTCAAATTCCCTGTCCATCCATCTCGTAGCTAAGCCTCCTGGACAGTTGGACCCACTCCTGCAGCCCGGTGTTCCCTTCCTCACACTCAATACCTCAGCCTGGGGCCAAGACACAGAACTTGAATAGAGGTCATGTCCCCTCTACCCCTGTTGCATCCTTGCCCAGTTTGGCTGCCATCAGTATTGTCCCCTGAGAACTGGACAGGCTTCGTTTACACAGTACAGGGATCTCTCCCCAGGGGATTCCTTGGCCTCTTCCCACCCCAGCTTGCTTTATTTATGCCATTACCCACTTTTTCTGTTTGTTCCCTGAAAGTCTTCCCACCCTTGCCAAGGGTGGGCTGAAGAGAGAGGTGGCATCCCAGGGATCCTTCTGTTCTCAACTGATAGATACCCGTAATCATACCTCATCCCAGTTCCCTGAAGTCTGGGGTGTTTGTCCATCTCCTTATTCCCCCGCCCTGTGGTCCCTTTTTACTCCTTATCTCTCTATCTTGCTTCCCTCAACCTTCAGTTCCTAAACCATTTCAAAGCTTCCAGATGACCATTGTTGGTGAGAAGGATTGTGCAGCTTTTAGTTTTTATTTTTGTTTTCAAAGCCAAAGGGCCTTGTGACGCCCCTCTTCCTTGCCTCCCTTCACACCCTGTCTTTCCCTAAATGACAATCAATGTGACCTCTCTTAAGGGCTGCAGCCCCCACCCCAACCCTGCTGGTTCTGCAAAGCTTGTCCCCTAACTTCAATTCTCTCTCCCAGAATGGTCCCATAATGCCCCCTCCTTCTTATTTTGGTGCTGGGAATTAGGTGGTGGGGGGCAGCGGGAGCAGGGAGATGGCTTCTCCAGAGGAGACTCTAGGAGTATCAGTCGTGTTCTCCTTTATCAATGTTTGGTGATGACAGGAAGACTCTTGAGTATATGTCAGGAGCCCCGTTGTTTTGCTAGATGAGATTGCTGGTGGCTGCCTGTCCCGGCCCCCCTTTAGCACACTTGTCAGCTGTGCTGGGAAATATTGTGGGGAGTCCTCTGTCCCTCCTCATGTGGCTGTGAGGAGGCCTGAAGGACAAGCAGCCTCTTCTCCTTATGCCAAAGGAAATCCCACACCCCACCCCGGGCACCCCAGCCCTTAGTGTTTTTTGAAGCATTTTGACCATTCTCATGGCCACTGCATATTTATTTTAATGTTAAGATTTTTTTTAAAGTAACCTCTTTGACTTAAACGGGTGTGGAGAAGTTAAAACAGGCAGAATGCCCCCCAATCTGAAGGGGGTAGGGTGGGGAGGAAACATCTCCTACCTTCACCTCCTCCCTCTCCCCCTCTCCCCACCACAGCTCTAAAGCACTTGCTTCAAGTAATAAGCACTTTTGTGAAAAGGCCTATTTTAAGTGAGGACCCTGGGCACTGTCCCAGGTCCCAGCAAAGGAGACAGAGTGAGGGCTACATAGGAGACAGGGAAACAGACATGTGAATCAGAGGGCGAGATGAAAAGAGCCAGTTTTTAGTTTCTGATTTTTGGGGGGATGTTTCTGATTGGACGGTGGCTTTGGTAGGATTGTGTACTATCCTTCAGACAAACAAATGGCACAAACTGTGGGTCCAAGGATGGACCAACAGACCCAGGTCACTGCCACTGTCCAGCTGAGACTGATGGGCCACCTCCCCCACCCGTGGCCCCCTGAGCCATAGGACTGCTGAAAACCACTGAATGTACAGCCCAGGTTGGGGTGGGGAGCAGCCCCGGGGGGAGGGGGCTTCTCCCTTTGTTTGGTGCTGTGGGGGGTGGGAGAGATGAGACAGAGGGACTGCCACCCCACTTAGACATGTTTTCCTTGGGGTGGAGGGGCTGAGGAGGGCCTACCTCCCTCTCTGACCCCAGCCATGGCCCTCTTCCTTCCTCACCCCTATCCGTTTTGACTGTAAGTCCAGCTCACCTTTGCCTTCAATATGTAACCAAAGGAAAACTCAATACTGTTTCCACCGCTGTCTGCCCACCCGAGCACCTTCTTACTCCCTGGACCTAGAAAGGGAGAAGAGGCTAGGGGTGGGGTGGGTGGGGCCAGAGTGAACGAACCCGTACCCCCATAAACCTCCTCTGGGGTCTTGGAAGAGGCCCTGAGAGGTGGGGCTGGGGCCCGGCTGAGGGGTTAGGGGTAGGTACACTCTATGACATGCACATGAGTGTTTCTTTGTTCAGATGACCCCAAGGACTATATGCTTCAGCAGGGTGGCTCCTTCCTCCTCAGCCGTTTCCCCCTTCTCCCCACACCCAGTGTTCATTCCCACCCCCAGTTTCCCCTTCCCACTGCAAAGGAAAATAGCCTTACAGACCCTGGCCCAGAAACCCTGCTCCTGGGGGAAACCATTTTGGGGGCCCCATTCCACCTAGTTTGAACCCTGCTTTTTCAGAAGGAGAGAAAAGGAGCAAAGCAGCCCTTTCCCCTTTAATTGGGGTGGCTCCCACCCTCTGTTGCCTTGACCCAGGTTGGGCAAGGGTGGAGGTAAGGAATTTTTGAGGACCAAGCCCAGTAGTCTGGGACAGGGAGGTAGAGAGGGAAGGGTCTGCTTTGAGGACTCCCTCCTTCTGACCCAACCCCTTAGAGAAGCGACCAAATCCCAGAGATGGGAGGAAGCTGGGGTGGGGAGGGTCTGCTCTTTGAATTACTTGAAGGTACTGACTCCGAGGCTGCTGTTGCCCACTTAGGTGTGAGGGGGACACTGTCACTGCATTTGGGAGGCAGAGGGTGACAAGAGGATCCACCCTTTGGCCCTCACTCTGCTGGGGGCCCTTTTCCCTGGGCAGTCTGGAAGCCTGACTTTGCCCCCAGGGAAGTTGAGGAGAGCCTTCCCCTCCCATCTCCATCCCTCACTCTGGGCACCCTCTCCAATTGCACTAAAGTAGCTGTTGTGCCAGTCTTACCCCACACCAGGGTGGGGGTCTCTGCTTCCAGCCCTTTCCTCCTTACTGCCTCTGCTCCCATCCCAGACAATCTCCTTGTTCCCCTGTATTCCTGGATAGCTCAGCTTTGTACGTGTGTATGTTTGGGGTGGGTGGGATGGGTTTTGGCTGGAGTAGGTTTGACAGGGGTTTGGAAAGGGCTGGGGGAAAGAAGGAAAATGAAGTTCCCTCCTCCCTTCCCCAGCCCTAAGCCACAGAAGCCTGGAGGGAGGGTATCTACTCTTGCTGCCGTGCGTCTTGCAGATGTGCCAAAATGTGGGTGGGTGGGAAGGGAGGGTGCCTGGCAGAGCAACCCCCAGGGTGGCTCTCTCAAAGCAATACAGTTCCCCCTACCTGGGGGATGGCAAGACAGGGGAGTGGGTAGGGGTGGGGACCTGAGGAGTTCCCCATGTACAGCTGTGTATATTCAGAGGTGGTTGGTCTCTGTCTGGTACCCAATGTGGGCGTCTATGTGTGTGTGAACCTCCCCTTCCCCATGCCCTGCATGACCTGTGATGCTGCAGACACCACCATCCTGTGTGCAGGTGTGTTGGGGGGCACAGAGGGCATGTTCCATGTCCTGTCGCATCCTCCACCCTGTGACCCATGTACTCGGTTGTAGGAAGTAAAAAGAACTGAGCACAATTCACTGGATTCTAGTTGAATCTTTCTCTAAGCAATTTTCCCATTCCTGTTCTTCTCCCTGCCCCAAATCCACCTGTGGTGCTAGTGTTGGGGTCGGGGTGTTTAATGCTGGTGGGCAGCAATAAAGGGCAGATCTGCCCAGGTGCCTGTATCCGCTGGGTGCTGAGGGCAGCAGGAAAAAAGTGGGGACCTGTGCATTTGCCCCGCCCCTCTCCCCCTCCTCCCTGGGCTAAAGCACAATGCTCTCCCTGCTGATTGATGCCCCTGCCCTCTCTACCCCCTGTCCCCCCACACATGTCCTCCTCCAACCTGCTTCGAGCCCTCCTCCCACCACACCCTGGTTTTCTATGCTGATTTGGTGCAAGTACAACTGTCGTAGTCATGGCTTTGGGATGGGTTCTGTTTATTAAAATCCTATTGCTCCTACTGGCCCTGTGTCCCGCCTCCATTCCTACGGTTGAGGGAGGGGAAAGAAGGGCAATCTAGACCCTTTTCCACTGTCCCCCATCAGCCCTCAGAGACCAGCGGCAACAGCTGCTCCTCCAGCAGTGCTATGGTGAGCATGAGGCTGCCCCCCAGCAGCAGCCCCAGGCCCTGGAGAAGCACATCCAGCATAGGGAGGGGATCAGGAGGACGAAGCAGGGCCGGTAGCTGAAGGGAAAGCAGAATGTCAGGATCGTGGTCTTGCCTCTGGGTTTGTAATGGGAGGGTTTCAAAGTACCAGCAACCCCCACCCAAACTCTTCCAGAGCTTTGATTCTCAGACTCTTGCATTCTTGAGGTCCCCTCACCCCACTTCTCATTCTGGTGCTAGGTAGATGGCGGTAGAGGACTGATCCTCCTCTCTCCGCACCCACCTCCCCATTTCCCTAGGTTTCTGTGCTCTACCCCACACCTCTCACCATGTCCACAAGGGCCACATAGAGGAAGACCCCAGCTGTGACTCCAAATACCCAAGGCGTGAGAGGGACAGGGCTCAAGCTGAGCCCCACCCCTAAGGCAGCACCCCCAAGTCCCAGGACTCCAGACACCAAGCTCAGAAGTAGCAGCCGACGAAAGGGCAGTCCTGCCTGGAGCAACATTGCAAAGTCCCCTGTTGAGAAGACAGCATATAGTAGAAAAGAGTAAGCCAGGGCTGCTCTTCTCCTGTGTCACTGGCGAGCCTTCAGGTACCACCCCTTGGAGATCCCTTCTTTCTAGATTCCACCCGCCTCGTTCCTGCCAGTCCTACCCAATTCATGGGGCAGCTCATGGCAGAAGACTGCTATGGTAGTACTGAGGCCACTGGAAAACCCAGCTGAGAAGGCAGCACCTGCCGTGGTTAGGATTAGAGGTGGTCAGCACAAGAGGATAAGTTACTGAGGTAGTAACCGGAGCCCTGGCCTCCCCTCTGGCATGCTGGTCTCCATTCTGTCCCCTCACACCTATGGCCAACCCATCAGTGAGGTTGTGCAGACCATCTCCCAGGAGGACCATCCATGTGATGTTGGTGCCACCACCGCCACCTTGGGGCCTGTGGCTGTGGCCTAGGTGCCCAGAAGGGGCTGGAGTTAGTGACGGCTGGTTGCCCTGCTCCCTCTGGCCTTGAGCCCCTGGCTCTGCAGGAAGATGGACAAGGAAAATGTTGGTTGCTATAAGGGAAGATTATTAGCTGGGACCCTATTCCACATTTTCTCTAGTCACCTGGAGCTGCCTGCAGAGGCTGAAGGACCATCCCATTGCCATCCTCTGAATCCAGATTTGGTCTCTCAGGATCTCGTCTTTTCCATCTGCAGCATCTCTGAAATAGGAGGGCATCCCTCCTGGTGGAGGAGGCAGCAGAGCCGGGGACTAAGGGGTGGCCAGGCACCAGTTGGGAAAATGAGCATCTGGTTCCACCTCTGCACCTGGGGATGTTCTTTGGCCTCTCTGCCTTCTTCCTAGGCTGACCCCTCCCTCTTTTTCTTGTTGATTTGAACTTGGAAGAGGGAGCCATTTGGCCCAATGCCTTAATGTCTACGCCCATTCCCTTTTAGCTGGCAAAGCCTCCACAATCAAGCAAATAACAAAGAACCAGGATCACACTGCTTTTCACCTCCTTGTGTGTTTGGGCAGCTCTTGGCTGTGACTCTGGGCTCAGCAGGAGGCAGAAAGGGTGTCACTTACTGGCTTCAGTCCTCGGTGTCGCAAAAGCCCTAGCATGTTCTCCAGCATGAAGAGCAGGAAGAGGCCTCCAAGCACTGACAGCCTTGGACCCAGGTCTTCCTCTGGTTGTCCACTAGGCCCCATATGTTGCCCTCCTTGTGCCTGACAGAAAGGCAGTCAGGACAGACCCCAGGAGCCCCTACCCTTCCCCGGGAGTTAACAACTGGACTCTACAAGGCAAAGATGGCGTGGAGAAACAAGCAGGAAGGAGGGATGGACGTCTCGTGACTGGGAACATCTTGGATACATGAAGGTGGACTGTCTCTGAGGGCAGGGTGACAGGGACTTCACATACGTGTGGCAACAAGTGTAGCAGTGCATCCCCGCAAAGAGTGCCCACGGCCAGGGCCCCCAGGAAGCCCAGCAGGGGTCGCAAGAGACGAGGTCCCAGGAGCCTCAGCAGCAGCAGGGAGAAAGGAGCTGGGAGGCTGAGCAGCAGCACTGCCAGGGCACTATGGAGCAGGGCTGGGAGAATGGGAGCTGGAGTCACTCAGGGCTGGGTGGGAGGGACCCAGAGGGGAGGCAGGGCAGAGACACACTGCAAGGGGAAGCAGGACCCCACGGAACTTCACACCCAGCTTGATACCCACTTTACCCCACTGACCAGATAGTAGATCTCCTGAGGGTGCTGGAGCTGGGGCCTGGATGCAGACTCTGCTGTCAATCTGATACAACAGGGCAGGACATAGCAGAGCAAACTGGCGTGGGGTCAGAGGAGCAGCAGGACTCAGGCCAAAATTAACCAGCAGCTGGGAGCCATTCAAACACTAGGGAAGTTGAGTTGGGGGTCAGGTATAAGATGATCACCGGGAAATGTGACTCCAGTCTTTCCAGTTGTGCTTTCATACATAGAGACTTCACACGTCTCACCCAGAGTGTCCTTTAATCACACAAGCAGGTCCCTCAGGGCCTAGGGTACAATCTGCATGTTTTACATTAGTGAGTATCCAATCCACATGCACAGTGGACACTGATGAACACTGCTGTCATCTCCCTCCTTCCCAAGCTTCGGTTTTGTGAGTTTAGTGATGGAGCTGTTTGGACTCCAAAAGCCCTCCATTCCAGCATCTTAGGAGACAAAAGAATCTGAAAAGTCACTTCCCCTCCCTCAGCAATCCAGCCACACAGTTAACCAGCTCTGGCTGGATGTTCCCTTTAATGGGAAGCTCACTGGCTTTGCTGTGGGCAATGCGGGCAGCTTTGGAACAAGATCACTGCCTTTCTACATGAAGACAACCATCTTCCTACAAGTCTCTTTTCCATGTAACCATCCCCAGATCTAGGGCTGCTTCTCCAGATTCTCTCCATTGCCAATCATGGCCTTGGAACTGGGGCTCAGAGCTCTGGGTGTGGACTCACCTGCTCCGAGCTCAATGAAAAAATACTTAAGTCTTGGAATACTGTGCCCAAAGATTGCATAGTGGGTTTTGTTTGTTTTATTTTAGTAATATTACTGACTAAACACTTCAGGCCATTTAATCCTCATAACTCTTTCCCAGTCTCTAGAGATCATCAAACTCACATCCTCATTCAGATGATCAGCCAGCGAATGGTCCAGCAACAGAAGCCTGTGAAAGAGGTCTAAGCCTGAGGGGCCTGGCCCATGGGCGTCATTTGGTTCCTCCAGGTCATTCCATCCTGATGGACCCAGAGGCAGTCCTGCCCAGACATCCACACTCAGCTTGGAGTCCTGCAACCTGGAATGGATAGGATACCAAGTAAAATATTCACTCTTCATCACCTTTGAGAAACAGTTCAGGGAAAAGAGGACGGACCTGGGGTTTCTGGGGCCCAGAAACCATGAAGCATCACTCTTGAGAAGATCTGGAAATTGTCAGTTTATAAGGAGACTAATAAGCAGAGGTTATAGGAGTGAGAAACTAGGAGGACAGCCAAAAATGCTGCAAAATTGGGAGCCAAGTTATCTTGGAGACCTTGAACATTGACACTGAGGGCTAAGACTCTTAAGGGTGTAGGGATATATAGCAGAGAATTAGAAGGTGATTGGGAGGCAAAGGGGACTTGAAGGAATATGAATAGGTAGATTCTTGAAGAATCTGTAATTTCAAGAGTCACATATTCAGAAGCCAAAGTGGGCAAATGGACACTAATGTAAGCACCCAGAGGAGCTAGAGTATGTGGTATTTTGGAGTACGAGAGGGCGTTAGTACCTGTATGTGGCATTGTCTCCAGATGGGGGGACAGCCCGGCTGGCTGAAGGCCCATGGTGTCCCAAGTGAAGTCCCTGGACCCGACCAAGCCCCAGGCTGTGGAGGAGCCGAGCTAGGCCCCCTGCAGTCAGAGTCCCATTCTCCCCATACAGACCAAACAGCTGGGCCAGGTAGTGGTTCTGCTCCTGCTCAGCAGGGTCCAGGTTGGGAGCTGAGCCCCCTCCCCTCCCTAAGACCACCAGCACATATAGGCCAGTCAGCAGGTGACTCATTGGGGATCCCATTTTGGGGGGAACAAGGGTCAGAGGCTATGCTTCCAGCTTCTATTCCCCCTGGACCATCCTGAGGACTGTGCCCTGGAAGAACAAGGGGATTGAGGGCAGTGAGTCAAAGCCGTGGTCTCCAGGTCAGGTAGGGGAGAACCCTCACCCTGAATATTTGCTCTCACCTTGAATCTAGTTGCAGCCCCCATCCTAGTTCTTCTCTCCCAGTCCCTCCTTTTAGTAGAACCCCTTATTTGCTAGTTCTTGGAGCCCCAACCTGCCATAAAGCTCTCTCATATCTGATCAGGGCCTGAGTGGGCCTCCAGTATTCCCACATCTCACCCCTGCACCACGTTGACCCATCTCTCTGTCCCCTCTGTCTCCATGGCTCACCCCTACTGGCAGCGTGAGAGCCTTCAGTCACCTGAAGTTGCTGTCAGGCCTTGCTGTAGAGGTGAAGATTCCTGGGTGGGTTGGGGGTGAGGAACCCACGCTTAACCACCAAGTGCCCAGGTAGAATGGAAGCCACGTCAGGTAGAAGGCCGAGATGGACAGCAAGTCCCCCCTCCTAGCCCACCTGCTTTGAGGCGGGACCAAGGGTAGGGCCAGAGCGGGATGGCTCACATCCAGAGTAGTTAATGGTTCACTGGTATCTGGGGTGGGAGTCAAAGGTCAGTCTCAGCTGGGCCCCTGACTAGGGAGGGGCCACCTTCTGCCCCTGGGAAAGCCACATGGCTAAGTAGTAGAGATCAATTTTTCCCTCTAATATTTTATCCCATTTCTGTGCCAGCTGGTACCATTTCAGCCTTTCCTTGCACATGCTCCAATCCCACCTACCTTACATCTAGGACTGGGTTTTACTTCCAATCCCACCCCCACATTTCCTGAGAAAGTTGAACCCAGGTGTCCCTAACCTGGGGAAAAGGATGAAGAGGAAAATCAATGACCATCTCAGATGTGTCTGGAAAAGTTCTTAACAAGTTCTCAGCCCAAGAAGAAACCCAGAAAAATTTAAAAAGAAGAAGAAGAAGAAGAAACCCAGAGCTCTGAGAGTCAAAGACAAGGAAAGGGGAAACCCATATGGGGAGAGGAAAGACATGCTAGGGCACCCCTCAAATGCCTGACTGGTTTAAGATCAAGGGAGTAGAAACTAATTGGAACAATTGGCCTAGGCAAGTGGAGGTTGTTATTACCTGGCAGCAGGAGACAGGGAAGGACACTCAGAGGAAGGGGACACAGCCTTCTAGGTTTCAGCATGAGGGGGTGTAGGTAGACAGGCGGGCAAGGGTCACCTGCAGGGAGAGGGGAGGGGAGGGACACCACCTTAAAGGGGCAGGCCTGCTTTGCTAGACCTCCTTATCTCCCCTCCACTTCCCAGGAACACCCCACCTTTCCAAATGCCCAGGTGCTAACCTCTTCCCTTTCCCACAGAAAAAGCACAGGGGGAAAAAAAATAAGCACAGGAGTCCAGCACAGAATGATAACATTTATTAGGAAAGGAGAATTCAGCTAGGCTCCCACATCACACACAAGAAACAGATGGTAACTGTCACGTCTAAAGAGGAAAGAGGGCAGGTAGCGTGTCTTGAATCCCAGGGACAGGCAGCCTCAGCAGGACAAGGTGGGAGTATGGGCTCTGGGTGGATAAGGCCACTGCTTGCTGCCCCACCAGTGAAGTTTAGTGGGTTAAATGTGGCTACCCCTCCCCTCCAGCAAGCAGCCCAGTAGAAAGCTGTCTTGTTCTCCAACAGAGACCTGGGTTGTGGTTGTTGGCAGGAAGGGACATAGGGTGTTTTGCTATCTTTTGCTGCTCCTTCGGGTTTCTTTGCCATTACTGACAGGATTGCTTGCAGGACCAGGAGGGCCAGGAGTTGTATGGTTGGGCTGACTGCGGGTGATCCGGGTGCTAGGTGGGTGGGAAGGAGCATGAGAGGGGTGTGCGCCACCACCAGGACCTGGCAGGGCACTCAGTCCGTTCCCATTCTGGTTCTCAGAAGCTAGTTTTGGAAGAAGGGGAAGAAACACAGGAATTAGAAGGCTCTGAGAGGAGAAAGGTCCATCCTTAAATCCTCCCTCTAAGCCCCAGAGATCACCAAGTGTGAGTTTAGGGCACCCCATCATCAAGTACAAATGCCCATTAACACCACCTGAACCAAGTGCAAATGAATGTAGAAACTGTCATCCAAATCACAATATAAAGTTTTTTTTAAAAAAAAGACTGGATTTTAAGTATGACTGGAACCCCAAGACGATTCAGTAGTCATTTTAGAAGTTGCCCTATGAACTCTGGTATGACTTTTTTTCTCTTATCAATGAGAGTCAAATCTAGAACCAGCTGTTTACATCTAGCCTCAAGGGCCTATGAAAAATGTCTCTTTCCCCAAATTATTATTAAATCTTGGGAAGTATGGGAAGGATTTCAAGTTTCTGTGCAAAAATGTAAAGAGGATCTTTAAAAAATAAAGAAAATATAATGCACACCCATGTTTATTGCGGCTTTGTTCGCAATAGCAAAGAAAGAGATGGAAACAACCCAAGTGCCCATCAACAAACGAATGGATATAGAGAAGCTGTGGTATATTCACACAATGGTATACTATGCAGCACTGAAAAACAAGGAATTCATGAAATATGCAAAATGGATGACCCTGGAGGACATTATGCTGAGTGAAATATCTCAATCACAAAACGACAAATATTGCATAAGGCCACTGGTATAAAATGGGACTGGCATTGGGGTTGAGGGAAGACAGAGAAGGCGGGAAGGAATGATGTATATTGCATTGAAACAGAGGAGACAGAGAACTGTTTAGAAGGGATATATGATTAAAAGGGGTAGATGATGTATTCTTATCATTACAGAATTCCAGACTGAAGGCTGTATAGTGGAGTGGACTTGGGGGGCGAGGGATTCATAACGATGAAAGGGTTTTTGTTTTTCTTTTCAAGGAGAAAAGTTAATTGGGAGGAGGGAGTGGGCAGGGAGAAAAGTGCAAAAATGAATGACTGGAAACCCTAAGTAAGTCTCTGTAAACTTTCATTTAATTAAAAAAAATGTAAAAAATAAATAAATAAAAGAAAATATAAAGCATACACACATGCACACACAATATATATAGACAAATCTTCCTCTATAATTGGGAGCTCTGATGGCTTAGTGGTAAGGAATTGTGCTGTCAACACAAAGATACATAGTTCGAATCCACCAGCTGTTCTGCAGGAGAAAGATGCACAGTCAACTCCTGTGCAGTTTATTGTCTCTGAAAACCTACTGGAAGGTCAGCTATTGGTTGGTTCCAACTCGATGGTAAACACCTGTGTGTGTGTGTGTGTGTGTGTGTGTCTATACGTCACAAAAATACCTAGTTATTTAAAAAACACAGATCTACATAAGCAAAGAAATTAGTACACATAATCTATGGTACTGAAAAGCGATGTCCGTCTAGAGACTAAGCTACACCTAATCCAGGCCATGGTCAATTACTTGCTATGCATTAGAGAGCTGGACAATGACTAAAGATGACAGAAGAAGAATCTATGCCTTTGAATTGTGGTTCTGGAGAAGAGTCTTGAACATACCATAGACTGCCAAGAAAATAAATAGGTCTGTGTTGGAGAGGGTGGAACCAAGTTTCTCCTTGGAGGCAAGGATTTTGAAGCTCTGTCTCACATACTTTGGGCACATGGCCAGGAGAGACCAGTCCTTGGAGAAGGACATCATGCTTGCAAGGGTGGAGGGACAGTGCAGAAGAGGAAGACCCTGGATGAGATGGATTGATACAGTAACTGGGGCAGTGGGGGTTTGGTGTGTCAGAATTAGTGAGACTGGCTCAGGACAGGGCAGGCTTCAAAGCTACTGTACATAGGGTCACAATGGGTCATAGGTGACTCGTTGGCACATAGCAATAGCAACAGCAACAACAACAACAATCTTACTCCTAAAGGTAATAATGAGAAACACTCTGTGTGTATTTTAAATATTTGTTGTTGTGTACCAGATTTGGAACTGACCCATAGTTGACCCTTCTGCCGGTTTTTCAGAGGCAGTAATCACACGGGAGATTGTTTCTCCTTCCATGGAGTGGCTGGTGGCCTCAAACTGCGTGCCTTTGAGATTGCAGTGTAGCTTCTTGCCACCAGGCCATCAGAGCTCCCTTATTTTAAATATTTGATTGGAGCTAAGTGCATAAGATGCCCCTCATTCTCTGAATATTACTATCATGCACTCAACACCGTTTATTAAAATCACATTCTGTGTATCTATATCCTTCATAAACTACAAACTCTTAAAGGCCGATGTTATGTTTATTTCTTAGCACATGACAGGATGCTCTATAAATGTAAAATGAAGACAGAGGCCTGCTTTGTTATCTATAGAGTGTTGTATGCCATCAGCTTGGAACCAACCTACAGCTGACCCTCCAGAGGGTTTTCAGAGGCAGTAAATCACATGGGAGGAGGTTACTCATTCTTTTCCCATATTATAAGCCCTAAATTTGGTAAAAGTCTTGGCTGATGGGGTTAATGGTTCTCAAACCATAGCCTTACTGACTCCTGCTGCCCCATAGAACTGCCAAAACTGGAAAAGGCCATTTTCCAAATTCACAGAAAAAGATGAATGTGTTGAAGTCATTATTAAATTTTTAAGCCCTTTTTTGGGAAGGGAAGATTGTTATCTATTAGCAGATGACAACATGAATAAACATGGTACAAATGATTATTAGGGACCAAAAGGCTTAAATGTAGTTTATTAAGGAGACTTTTATAAATTATTGAATCACGGCAAGCTGAAAACATATCACAGAAATACTTCCCTGGCAATAATAGTAAAACTTAGTAAGAGAGCAAACAAGAAATGCTGGCACTGTTGTGGAGAGCCTGAAATTCAAACACACTGCTGGTGGGAATGTAAAATTATACAACCACCATGGGGAATTGTTTGGTGCCTCCTTAGAAAGTTAAGAATATATTAAACATAATGCATGGGGAAAACTGTATGAAACACAACGTGCATGAAGAATAGTGTCAAACACTATGTATATGAATTTTATAAGCAAACCAAAATGAAATTTAAAAAATTTTTTAAAAAATTTAAGAATAGAAATACCGGGAGAAACGTGCAACAATGAATGACTGGAAACCCTAAGTCTCTATAAACTTTCATTAAAATTAATTAAAAAAACAAAAACAAAAACGGGGAGCTCTGGTGGCCTAGTGGCAAGAAGCTGCAACTACAATCCCAGAGGTGCACGGTTCGAATCCACCAGATGCTCTGCCGGGGAAGGAGGGGCAATCTCCTCCTGTACCAGTCAGATCTGATTTGACGGTACACACACACAAAATAAAAAAAAATTTAAAAATTAAAAAAAAAAGAAATACCATTTAATCTAGCAATCCCACTACTAGGTATGTCATCTTAAAGAAATAGGAACTGCAACAAAACACATATATGGACACTCATGTTCACTGCAACAATAATTACAATAGCAAAGAGATGGAAACATCTCAAGTATCCATCAATGGATGGCTAAAGAAACTGGTATATTCACAAGGGGAGGGGTGGGTAGGGAGAAAAATGCAACAATGAATAAATGGAAATCTCTGTTCATTAAAATTAATAGAATAAAATTTAAAAAAACTGGTAGAGTCACACAGTGGAGTATTATGCAACACTAGGCTGAGATAAATCAGTCACAAAAGGACAGTTGTGGTATAAGACCATTATTATGAAAAGCTACTGAAAGGTTTACACTGAGAATAATCCTTGGATGGTTACCAGAGATAGGAAGAGCGGGGCAAAAAATAATAGATAAGTTAGGTGAAGAGAAAAGCAATAAATAATAAGAGGGTGATCAAACATTGTAATGAATTAATTATATTTATCAATTGTAATTAATGATATAAAATGTATAGGACTAAAACAAAATGTATGAATGATTAATGGTAAACCAATGATTTGTAGACTTTCACTCAAGAGCCTGACCAGAGGCAAGGAAAATCAAGCATCAAGTGACTCTCAACTTTAGTGGCATCTTGTTTGAGACTTCGGAACCATGAGAGCCAAGTGGAAGGAAAAGCAAATGCATAGGGAACTAGCACTTCATCCCCATGAACACCTCTGAGAGGCCCACCTTGCTCCTTTGAAACCAGCCCTTTTAGACACGCTGCCCTGGAACCTATGATATTCTGGACTAATAACTCCCTGTGATTAGTTGTGGTTAAGTGTGAAGGGTACAAGAAATCATCTCTTCTGCTGTTTTAGCCAAGGAATAAAACAAACAAACAAAAAACATCAAGTGAGTAGTGTCATCTGGAACATGCATCAGAACCAAAAGTCAGGTTCCAGGGAAGACTAATTGCACTAGTGATGAAGGAGGTGGCAGGCGGTGAATAGTTTTTTATCAAAGTTGGTGATTTGCAATAAGGTTTCCATTCCTTAAGAGACCAAAAACGTGGGGTTTGAAATACATTAGGGGGATGAATAATGATCCAAGAGCCAATGTCTAGGCGCTGAGGGATGATCCCAAAAGAGAATTTATTTCATGCTCTCAAACTGTGCAGTATAGACTTCATGTTGGGTTATATAAGTAACGTATTGAAATCCTGTGGTGGATCCTAACATGCTAGGTAGAAAAACAGCAAAGTTTTGCCAGGGAAGAATAAGCAAAGAGCTAGAATTAAGGACTGCAATGTTTGTGAAGTTATGCTCCTTTCTGCCTTTGATCAATATTGGTAAACGGGTACCTGAGCCTTATCAATGGTAAAAACCAATCCTCAAATTTCCTTACAATAGAGACTTACAGGGGTTTTAAACTGAGGCCATGTGGAAATGAATTTGGTGGAGGAGGATGTGCTGAAATGGAGTTTTAGAAAAGGGACTGGGGTGGAGGGACATCTGTCCAGACTGAGGAAAGTAGTCCTTGGAGGAACACATGGTTAAATGATCAACTACCAGCCAAAACTCACCCAGAGGTACCTCAGAAGACAAGCTGGTAAACTACTTCTAAAAAGTCACAGCCTTTAAAACCTTAAGAAGCAATTCTACTCTGATAGACACCCAGAATTGCCGTAAGTCAGAATTAACTCAGCAGCAACTAGTAGCACCAACACAACAGGCTGAGGAAAAAGGAGGAGGAAGTCTTAATCTGGGAGCTCTACTAACCTGGAAATTTGGGGTGTTTTTTTTTTTTTATTTCTTTCTAATAGTTTGGGTTTTGGGTATTTTTTTTAAATGAACGTTTACAGAGATTTTGAATTTCCATTCATTCATTGTTGCATAAACCTGGGTGTTTTTAAAAATGCAAGGAAGGGAACAGGTTTACCTGGAGAAGCAGCAGGGGGTCCGGCAGGAGGTTGTGGGGCAGAAGAGCTGCTGTCATTCTGCACCTGCGGGCACAAGTTATACACTCAGTCCCTGTTCACGACCATTCCTTGGTCTGACCTGCCCTCCTTCCTCATCATCATGGCCATGGGACTCACCGCCTTGTTGGGTGCCTGCTGGGCATTGTACTCTGGGTTCGGCTCACTGAAATTAGGAACTTCAGAATAAACCATACAGAATCTGCAAGAGGAGAAAACGGTCAACATCTTGGGTTCATCCTTTGGGACTAGTGATACAGGAGGAGCTATATACTTTTTTAAAAATAGCTAAAGACATTAAAGTTTATTAAGACACAGAGAAGTTTACAGAGAAGCTTATTATGTAAGAGAAACACTCTCAGAAAGAGAGTGGGCACATCTCAGGAGCAGAGAGATGAGAATGAGTTATCTGCTTTTATGATCCATGCAAATCTTAATTTCCTCTGCACCCACGTGGCCTGGTGCTTCATTCCAATTAAAAGAATAGAACTTACTCTCCAATTTTCTGCAGATCACCCCCTCGACCAGTGTATAATGTCAGACAACCTTTGAACACTGAAGCATACCTATAGGGGTAAAACAAATTTAGAGCCTTCACAAGTTACAAGGAGTGCAAATCCCATCTGTCTTGACTCCTACTACCCTTCAATAGCCAGATATTCCAAGCTGCCTTACCCTTTCGTGAGCCGGATAATGTCCCCAGGCTGGATCAGGTTACCCACATCGTCCCAGACTGAGATATTTATGCTGCCAGTTTTGTCTGCCACTTTGCAAGTCCGAACCTCATGCCCATCCTTTGTCTTGGTCACTCGGCCTAGAGAGCAGAGATAAATGAAGAACGCTCCAGTGAATGGTGGTGATTAGAGGGGTGAGATGTGGATATTGCCGAGAAGGAAAATGTGTGCAGCGCAAAAAATCCAAATCCCTTGGATGAGGTGGGTGGTGGTGGAACCAGCACCATGGAGAGGGCCCTGAGTGAACTGAGACCCGAGTGGCACGACCCGCAAGAGTTCTATCTACCTTGTAACCCAACCACAATTTAGAGATCAGGCGTGAGCCATGTATGTCTTCTCAGCCGGCCCTGCATGGCGGGTGCAAGCTAATGTCGGAAACGGTGTCCTTCCTATTAAGCCAGGCACCCCTGAAATCTTCACCGTGGGCTCTCGGGCCCCCAGCACAGTTACCTGTTTCCAGCACAATAAAGATGAGGTTCAGATTCTTGAGCCCTGGCTTGATATCCTTCACAAACGTCTCCGTCGTCATGCTGCCAGAACCTCGGCACCCCACTGAAAGGGGGAAAGGCGAATGGAGGCTCAATGTCTAGCGTCTTCGCTCTCATGCAACATTTCCTAAGACCTAGCACGCTGGGTTGGGGCCAAGCAACCTCCAACTTAAAGGTTGGAAACGAACTTCTCCGAGATCCTCCAACTTCAAGAGCTGAAACTGGGTCTCTGGACAGGCTGCTTTGGGGCTGGAAGGCCCCTTCCCGGGATGCTCTTTCAGTCTTAAACCCAAAGTGGACGCAGCCAACAGAGTGTGGGATAGGGACTGCAGAGCCAGAGATTAGAGTCTTACCCGCCAAACATTCCCCAACCCTCTTCCGGACAACTCAGGACTCGGTCCATCCCTTCCCCCAACTACGAGCCCCCACCCCCGCCCGACCAGCGGGTCCGTAGGTGCACACCACTGAGCAGCCCGCAGGGGGAGCCACAGACCTAGCTGCTGCCGGATGCTGCCCGATGGAACGCGGGAGTAGAATCATTCCCGGAAGTATCCCTCGGCTGGCCTTCTATGACCAATCAACACCTCCAGTGAACACTCTGCGTACCACCGCTAGCCAATCGAAAGGGGGACTCACGCATCGCGAAGGGGCGGGTTTCAAGTATTAAAGGAGCCGAGGAGGTAGTTAGCACTAGTGCTGGGACTGCTAAGTAAAATATCAGCCGTTCGAATCCATGGAAGAAAGATGGGCATTCTCTCTACATAAAAATTTGCAGCCTCGGAAATCGGTGGAGGGTCACTAAATAAGAATGGACTAAATTTCAGTAACTTTGGTAGGATAGAAGGTGGACAGCATTGTGTTGCTAACCTATACATCAGTGATTCTAACACATTACGATTCCGAGGAAGAAAGATGTGGCAGTAAGCGTCCATAAAGATTATGTTGTTGTTGTTAAGTGCCGTCCAGTCGCAGGCGACTCATAGCGACCCTATGAAGGAGAGTCCTTGACGCTTGTGTGCCTTTCATCCTCTCTCCAAGTTCATAGGGTTTCCCAAGGCAAGTTATTATGGATTATAAAGATTATAGCCTTGAAAATCTAAAAGCAGTTCTACAAGTTGCTTAGAATCCTGATCAACAGAATGGTAGATTGGGTTGGGTTTGTTTTGTTTTGTTTTTTGGAGGTCGTTTTGATCTCATTCACTGGCTAGCAACGAATTGGGGCTTAGGTCTGGGGTTTAGGAGGAGATTGGTTCCACAAGGGGGAAAGACAGACCACCATGGACAACTCAGTTTTCCCTCACCCTTATTTTAAAAATTCACTGGGAGGAACCACCTAAGGTCACATAGTCTGTAATTTATTTCTCTTTATTTCTTCTCCAAGGGAAAAAGGTCAAAGAACTTTGGAGTTGCAGGAGAAAAGTTTTAATCCCATTTTAATTCTTCACTTTTTTTTTAAGAATTTTTCTTTTTCAGCGAGCTCTGGTGGCCTAGTGGCAAGAAGCTGCACTGCAATCCAATAGGTGCATGGTTCGAATCCACCAGATGCTCTGCTGGAGAGGGAGGAACAATCTCCTCCTGTACCAGTCAGATCTGATTTGACGGTACACACACAAAAAAATAATAAAATTTTAAAAAAAAAGAATTTTTCTTTTTCAGCGAGCTCTGGTGGCCTAGTGGCAAGAAACTGCACTGCAACCCCAGAGGTGCGCAGTTCAAATCCACCAGATGCTCTGCTGAAGAAGGAGGAACAATCGCCTCCTGTACCAGTCAGATCCAATTTGACGGTACACACATAAAATAAATAAATAAAAATTTAAAAAATATGTGAAAAAAGAGAATTTTTCTTTTTCGTATTTTATCATTTTGTGTGTGTGTACCGTCAAATCAGATCTGACTGGTACAGGAGGAGACTGCCCCTCCTTTTCCAGCAGAGCATCTGGTGGATTAGAACCGCACACCTCTGGTATTGCAGTGCAGCTTCTTGCCACTAGGCAACCAGAGCTTCCTTAACTTCTTAGTAAAAATTGTCCCCAATATAATTTTGAAAACAGTGAAAATATATGCCTATGCCTCAGTAGAGAGCTCTGTTGGCCTGGTAGTGAAAACCCGCTCTGCATCCCTGAATGCACATGCTTTGAATCCACCATGCTCTACTGGAGAATGGGCAGTCTCCTCCCGAGCTATTACTGCCTCGGAAAACCCACTGTCAGGTCATCTATGGGTCAGTTCTGACTTGAAGGTTTTCAACAATAAGAACAACAACCACTCAGTTAAAAAAGCAAAAAAAAAATTCCACTGCCATCGATTGTGACCCATAGTGACCCTTCACAGTGTTTCTGACCCTGTAATTCTTTACTAATGACTTGGTATTTCTAGTACCCAGTCTTTAAACTCATATTCACTATGGAGTCAGTTTTAACTCATAATGACCCTTCTGTCAAGTTACCTCACTGGCCTAATTGGTGACATCAAGGAAAATGAAGAAAAGGTTGAAATATTGTCAACAATTTTGTCTTACTTGGATCCACATTCAACCCCCTTGGTACTGGATAATAATCAAGTGATTAGAGACTTGTTGTATTGAGAAAATCTGCTCTCAAGGGTATCTCCAAAAGTATTGACTAGTAATTATGTCAATCGAAAGACTGATCCAAGCCATGGCCTTTTCAATTCCTATGCATATGAAAGTTGGACAAAGAATAAGGATAACCAAAGAAGAATCAATGCCTGTGAGTTGTGTGGGAGAAGAGTACTGAATATTCCATGGACTGCCAAAAGAACAAACAAATATTTCTTGAAGAAAGTGCAACCAAGGTACTCTTTGGAAGCAAGGATGGTACAGCTTCACCTCACACACTTTGGGTATGTGGTTAGAAGGTGCTAGTCTTTAGGAAAGGATATTATAGTTAGAAAGGTCAGCATAAGTGAGGAATACTCTCAATAAGATGAATTGGCATAGTGACTGTAACAACATGCTCAAGTATATCAGAAATGGTGAAGATGGCACTGGATAGGGCAAAGCTCAGGTCCATTGTTCATAGGGTCACTGTGAGTTGTAGTCAACTCTATGGCAGATGATAACGCCATTGTGTTTCTGAGGCTATAAACTGTGGTGGGAGGAGTCTACCCATCTTTACCCCTGAAGCCTGGTGGATTTGAACCACTAAAGGCATGCAGTTCAAGTCAAATATATGGACTACACCACCAGAGCACTCGGCTAGTACCCAAGAAACACACAAATACCAGGTTCCTCCTCTTCTCTACTCCTCTAATCCTCATCTTTATTCCTGATTTGGGATCTTCATGTTTAACAAACTGCTATGCGAACAACTGAGGAAGACCTGAGGCATTTGCTGCAGACGGTCAAGAATTACAGCTTTCACTTTCTCAAAAAGTTGCAAATAGAGATACCATTTGACCCAGCAATTCCACTACTGGGAATATACCCTGAAGAGACCATAGCTGACATCCAAGCAGATATATGCACACCCATGTTCATTGCAGCTTTGTTCACAATAGCAAGGAGTTGGAAACAACCTAAGTGCCCATCAACAAACGAATGGCTAGAGAAGCTGTGGTATATTCGCACAACGGAATACTATGCTGCATTAAAAAACAAGGAACTCAAGCAATATTATTCAAAATGGTTGACTCTGGAGAACATTATGCTGAGTGAAATATCCCAGTCACAAAAGGACAAATATTACATGATGCCACTGTTGTAGAATGGGACTGTCCTTGGGGTTAGGGAGACACTGAGTAAGATGGGTTCAATAATGTATACTGCACTGAAGCAGAGGAGGGAGAGAACCGTCTAAAAGAGAGATGTAACTGGGTATTTCTGTCATCACAGGAGACTAGAGCGAGGGCTGCATGGTGGAGGGGACCTGGGGGAGGGTTTGTAAAACAATGAAAGAATCTTTTCTTTTACTTTTCCATAATTTTTGGACTCATGTACTTATAACTTGTTAGTCAAATTTGTGTCTTCTAGGTTGCAACACCCCCATGATACATCTTGAAGGATATGTACATGTACAGCCAAGCACAATCAATAAGAGTGCATCTGAATTCCAAAATCAATCTCCATAATAGTCTATGTGTTTCCTACTGCCAAAGGGGCCCTTTAGAGTAGTGAGAGAATATCTTCACCCTGAAACCCACAGCGTCCCTTTTCAGCAGGAAGTAGCTAAGAGAATACGCCGTCCCCTTTTCCTTATGACTCAGGGTGAAGTCTCTCTCAGGGAGGAGTGATAGGGAATGGCAAAGGATACACTGACAAAGAAGATTAATCAGAACTGGCTTTGACAAGCACTGTGGCATTTGGACAAGAACAAACTGGGAGGAGGGTAGAGAGAATAGTGCAACAATGAATGAGTGGAAGCCCAAAATCTCTGTAAATGTTACAGCTTTCAATATGGATTGAAGCTCAACATCAAGAAGACAAAGATTCTCACCACTGGGCTGATTTGCAGCATTATGATAGATGATGAAGAGATTGAGATTGTTAACAGCTTCAGTTTACTTGGCTACACAATCAACACTCTTGGTACCAGCAGTCTGGAAGTCAAAAGACGAATTGCAGTGGGAAAATCTGCTGTTAGGGACGGTTCCAGAGTACCAAAGAACAAAAATGTCAGTCTGGAGACTACAGTAAGTACGCCTGATCTAGGCCATGGTCTTCATAATTATTTTCTATGCATCAGAAAACTAGACAGTGACGAAGGTGGTGCTTAAGAAGAATATTGAATATACCATGAACTGCTAAAAGATCAAACAGGTTCATCCTAGAGAGGGTGAAATCAAGCTGCTCCTTAGGTACAAGGATTCCGAAGGTCTGTCTGACATACTTTGAGCATGTTGCAAGGAGAGATCAGTCCTTGGAGAGGGCCTTTATGCTTGAGAGGGTAGAGGGATAGCACAAGGCACATAACAATAACACCCAAAAGTAGCAGGCTGACACAACACCTTTGTACAAATTGGAACCTAGGGCACAAAGAACACCATTTGAATTAGCCCTTTAACAGTTTCCAAGGCATTTGTTACTACTCTCCTTATCCGGTCAAGGAGCCCTGATGAAGTATTGCTTAAT